CAAGCAAGGTAATATTGTATATTTACACCGGATATCAAATAAATAATAAATTTGCCTCCGCTACATGTCTAAATGCCATGGGACCGCAGACCAAAAATAGACCCCTTAATCTGATACAATGCATCTGTTCACTTATGAGATCATTGTTCTTTTTCCTCTTCACAGACAATAATAAACAAATAAACCTCAGCATAAATCATAAGTCAGTTAAGTTAACAATATCTGCCAACTGTCATGAGCCGGGGTGAGTGCTCCTCTCGTTTCTTACAATCTTTGAGTTTTGTTTTTCAGGAGAGGGAGCGACAGCTGTTACCCATTCAGCTAATCAGTGGGCCGGCTTATTAGGAGGACGGTGGACATGACTCGATGCCGGCAGATTACTACTGACTGGTAGTCTCTACCCTTCGATTTATTCGATCTCTCGTTCTAGAACTCTTGTGATTTCTTGTGACCTCGACTAACTTGGATATTTTGGATTACTCACCTCAGGTTGGATTCTCCTCAGGATTCACCCCAACGCTGTATGGACCTTTACCCAGCTCATTTCCTGGTTCACCATCCACCGCTTAACTGACCCGCTCTCCACCACACCTCGCTCCCTCTCCAAGACCCACACGGCTCGGATCCATTCTCTCTCCCCATCTCAACCGCGCTTCAGTCATTCCCTGGATTATTACCCCGGCTCACCCCTCCCTCACACTTCTCCTCTTCCCAAACAGTAGGTCCCTCCGTCATTGCTTCCCTATTGAACTACAACTCCCATACTCACCTCCGCTACTCTCCCCTCTAGACGCTGCTTCCCGTTCCCTCACCCGCTGGACTTCCAGTGCGCCTTTAGTTCATCGTTTTAATAAAAATATTTTATTTTTTTCATTAAATCTGATTCCGTCTCCCGATTCTGCATGTCCTGGGTTAGACTCTTGCCTCAGACCAAGACACCAACATGCGCAAAACAAGATATAAAGGTGAAAATCTGTCAAAGCATTAAGTGGCCTAAAAACATGACCCAAAAAAACCCCAATATCAACCACTAAAGGGTTAACATCATAGATATGCAGTCTTTTTTCTTCTTCTCTGGTTTATTTCTAGACTTAATCTATGGAGAAAGGAGGGGTGGATGTCAAAAAATAAAGGAAAAAAGGGACAAAAGAAGTGCGACAACACTGGAACAGAACCTGCAGTCACTCTCCTCTCCCAGCCTGGATTATGGCCAACTTTTTACAGGATGTGTCTGTCGTATCAAGAGGATGCTGCAGTTTTATGTGAAGCTTTCACACTGTTTACCACCACGGCCATTGAAACAGTCCCCCAGGAGATTTGTTGTGGCATGAGGAAGAGCAGAGCAATAATTCACGTCATGTATCGTAGAAGAATGGAAAGCCACTGAGCTCTGTTTTCCTGCTCGTCTTGTTATGATGAAAATGAAAGTATACTGTAGTTGACATTTTTAAATCTTTTTGGGCGGTGTGTGTACACGAGAAGAGATAATTAATTGATCACAGTGTAATAATCTATAAGAAAGGCCAATAAAACACCAGCCGATCGACCTCTCAGTGAGTCGGCCCTCCTGAGACTACCTCCTGCTCTCAAACTGTCCTCAATCCAATTTGAAACTTCAGGGAGAAACCAGACTTTCTTCTAAATCTCAAACAAGACCCAATGAGTTAATATTCCACAGAATGAATCCAGTAATATAACAACATGTTAACAGTTCCTGAATTAAAAAATGTATTAGTTAGATAATTCAAGTCTACCTGCAGGGTAAATTATGACATGAATCATAAGTAATCAGTATTTCTGCTTCACAGTTTGTTTTTTTCATCTTCAATGTGTCCTAGAAATGGTATATTTACAATTGAAAACTTCTTTGAGGCTCTATAAAGCCTATTTAATTATGTTGGGGCTCAAAATGGCCCAGGAGCCAAACCAACCCCCCAAATAAGTGGACATAAATAATGGGAAGACTGGATACCCTGCCCACTTGACCAGAACATGAATATTACATAAATCGCGTGCTGATTGGCCAGTTTACTTCGATGACTGCCTGTTGTGAGAATCTCTGTGTTCTGTGTGCACATGGACAAGCAGTTTTCGTGGGGGTGGCAAGATGTGGCGCGGTGCGAGTGTGTGGACACTGTGGACGAACAAGGGACAAAGTGGCAAGGACAGGGATCTACCTGGCATTCATTCATAGTCTGGGTATTCCCAGTACATCCTGGGATGTGAGTGGTGCTCCAACCATTTTTTTTTCTTTTCCTATTGTCCAACAAGAGCTTTGGCAGCTCAGGCTAGCATTAGCAGTACCTCAGCCTAACATTGTTCTATTGTTAGCGCTATCATGACCATCGTTACATATGTTAACACTGAAGTGGGTTGGCACATGCAAATGTAATCTGGAGTGTCTAACCTTATGATGCGTCAGCAGGTCAGAGATGGCACTTACCTTTTGGTGTGCTACATTAGAAACCCAAATCTGCCTACATTGATCAACAAGGTAAATGTGTTTTGAAATTCTGAGACCGCTTTAGTTTTAACATATCTTAGTCTTGTGGTATAACATAAAAAAGGAGTGCAACAGATCATCATCGATCCGTGATCTGCACGGATCTCTCTACGGTTCGGCACACACGTGGTCCCTGGATTGGTCACGCGAAGGGCCGAGGATCCACCTGTATCAAGGGAGGGGACGCTATTTGTCTTTTCTTTTTCGTTTCTTTGTGCTGATCTGAAAAATGATCCAATCCATGACTCAAAACCATGACACGATCTGAACCATGAGTTTTTTGATCCGTTGCACCACTAATATAAACCCAGACTCTATTTACATTTGTGTTAGCTACAACACAGCAGCTAGTTGAAGTATCAGGGTAAACTATAATAACTTCCACTGCTGTATAATTGCCATGCATTATTATGATTCTTGCTATAATTTAGTTTTTGGGATCTCAGATGTCTGTGTTGCATGTTTACCGGTATATTTTTTTATTTAGATGTTTTTGTCTAGTTTAGCATGTCATTATGAAAGTTAAAATAATACAGCTGTCATCGACTGAAGCTTTAAATTTTCTTGAAGTTTTACAAATCCGCAGCTTCACAGAGCTGAACAGAGGATGATGGAGATTTCCGAGAGAAGAACGGTGGTTATAGACCGCAACAGAATCACATCAATCAGTTCCTTGTTGCTGTAAGTGAACAGCTTTATGACACTGAGGATGCAGAGGCCACATACCCGGTCGTTTCTATACATTCTAGAGGAATCTTTGCAATGTGGGATCAGATTACGCCAGCCAGCTTAAACACCATCAGACACCTGCTGCCTGGAGCTGTGCTCTAAGCCTGCCATGCCGCTTTGATGGCTTTGCAGGATGAGAGTCACACAACATAGAACAACTATAAATCTCACCGCAAAGCCAGGACAGAACATATGGTCATGAAGGAAACTGCTGCAATGCCGCATTTTTAGTACATTTCATCCAGTATTCCTGCACTTCTCAGGTAATCAGTAAGCAGAACCAGGCTCTTTGACTTCAGCTACGATATATAATCCTGAAAACCTGAGCTGAAAGTAAATAGACTTATTTGTTCATCCTTGAAGAGGTTTTGATTCTCATCTGAGGAGCTTTGTTAACTCAAACTAAATTGGGCAGCGTTTCAACCTTGAACGCTTTTATGGAGTTTGTGAGTCACTGAAATCGCAAGCATTTACTGACCATCTTGTTAATTACTTTGGGTTGTTGAGATTTCAATTAACTTGGTCAACTTGGGAGATGCTTTGGATCCAAGCAGCAAAGTGCAAATTGGAATGAAACCAACTGGGGAGCAAACTCAAAGCTGCATTTTAGTTGCAAGAGAAACCTGACTCCACCGACTTCGCTTTGGCTCAATAACTGGGGATTACGTCCTGGATGTAAGAGAACCCACACTCAAGAAACCACTCTCACCGGTATGACTATAAGTTACTGTTGCATTAAAGGAAATGTTCATGAAACAGGACGATAAATCAGATTCATGTAAACTTATAAGCACTTGCAGGGTTCTTTGTCCCTCATTCTCCTCTTCTTCATGCACTCGCCTAGCCTGGCAAGCCAGACTAAATAAATGTATTATTTAGTCTGGCCACGCTCCATTGACGGCTCTCGGTTGTGGGGCGGGTTCTACCGTTGTCTTTCAAATGATCTCCGCATTCCACTGGACAATGAATGTGACGTACTCTTGTTTCACTCTGTTGCATCATCCCACCCACCAGGCATATAGAGTGCCCTGATTGGCCCACGAAGCGGATAAAGCTCTGTGATTTGTTCACTAAGCAGATAGAGCACTATGATTGGCCCACCTTTATGGACCAATCACAGCTCTTTATGTGTTTGAAACCCCTCTAGAGAGCTGTGATTGGCTAGCCAGAGTCCTGGTAGGAGCTGCGGAGGTTCCAATGGGGCATGCCAAGACCAAACTTTGCAAAGCAAGAATTTGGTCTAGTTCACTAGGCTAGCACTCGCCACCTGCAAACCCACGTTTCCCATTATTTCCATCCACAAATAAAATGCTTGCTGCATTTCATTTTACTCCTTCAGTCACGGGTGAATAAAATGTTCATATATGTAGGATTTTTCCACGAGGTATTCTTCAAGCTGCTCTGTGTCTGCCGCTAGATATCTTCGGCTCTCTTTATGTTTTTGAGGGTGTGATGGCAGTGCTGTTGACGAAAACGGTATCCTGACCAATCACAAGCTTGCGTTCTCTATCTCGTTCGATGGATGTTTAGAAAAGTAGGCTCGACTCTGTCCGTCCATGCGAGCCTGCTGGAGAGTCCTCGCAAGGATGGATTAGGGCGTTGCGCGTCTCCGTACCGACGCAGATGTGAAAGCATAAACTAAGCTTAACTTTACTCCTGATGCACAATTCATCTCTAAACAGGAAACGACTGGGCCTTTTTTGTCTTTTTTCTACCGTTAAATAGTTGCTCTATATGTTTCTTTAATACAGGTTGAAAACCAGCTCACCTGTCTTGTAACGTATACTCAATGTTATCAGGGGAAATCTGTCCAGTCACAGGGTGCCGAAACGATGTGCTCCTCACGTTGTGGCTGCAGAAAAGAGAAAAAGAAAAGCGAGAAACCCACATAAATAATGTATGATGTCATTAACTGTATTCCTGCCTGATCAGCCCTGTATGCTTATCTGTTTTCTCTATTTCAGCTTGTCTGCAAAAACTATGTTAAACTCCTGTATGTTCACAATAAAGCCCCGGTCGACAGTGGAAGCTCTACAGCAGCAATGCAGCCGGTCACAGCTCATATTCTTTTACACAAAGTTTGAGGCTCAGCAAACTTCCTCATCCAGCGCACTGGGCTTTATCGATTTCAGCTAGATGGGGCCATTCATTGCTTTAACTGGAGCATAAACGTATGCTACTGTCACATGGTGGAATAAGAAGGGGCAGCCAGTGATGATGCTGGTGAAAGGAGTCAAATATTACAAAGCTACATTATTAGTATTATGTTCCCATATTGCAATGGTTTCAAACATATTGACAACCATTATGTCGCGTTTTGAGGATGTTTAGGACCCAAATACGCAGATACCCAGATGACAAGAGGCAGAAGGAGATTCAAAGTAAAAATCCTTTTATTTTGTAGGATAAAGAACAAAAAGTAATCCAAGGCAGCGAGCCAAAGTCCAAAAAGTCCTGGGGAACAGGAACACCCAAAACTCCTCTTAGAGCACAAAAACCAGGAGACAAAAGCTCACCAAAGAGCACGAAGACCTGAAGGCACAAGCTCACACAGAGCACGAGCAACGCTGACAACATTCAACAATGAACCGACACCAGACACAGACAAGACAGAGCTTATATACACAGGGAGAAGTGATTAGGGAAAATGGCGGCAGGTGTGTGAAGTGAGAGCTGGAGGGAAAACAGGTGAACCTAATAATCAAAATGGGCAAACAGAAACAGAGGAGGGCCAAATAAACCTAAAAAACTCTAAAACACAAAACTAAACCTAAAGGCTGCGGGAAGGACTAACACACACACACACCATCACACACACAAATGCACTAATATAAAAAGGAATGGGGAATGGACAAGCACACACACACAGAACAACACACACACACAACTACCCACACACAAACGCTGAGCAGGGGACTGACACACACACATACACACGTCGAGCTGGGGACAAAGAAGCTGAGACCTGGAAGGCCTGGAGATGAATGAGATGACACAAGACCAGGGAGGAATTGACTAAGGACTACCAACATAAGACACATAATGGACGCAGACAAAGGACACATGAGGGCGCTATGAGATACAAAAGGGGAATCTAAAGAGGGATGGAGGACATAAGGAGACACACGGGGAAGACACAGACGCAGACCATGACACATTAATCCTGAGTTGCTAACATAGCACTTATAATGATTCAGTTTTAGTCATTCAACTTTACTTAGCTTTTCATTTTTACTTATTATTCCCTATAAAACAAATTGTAGGTAGATAGCATTGAATTAGCTTTTGGCTATCCAGGGAAGCTCTGCCATCATAGTGACAAAATAAATTGTATTGTATCGTATTGTGTTATATCTTAATGCATATTATTTTTCATTGAATCATATAGTGACACACACTATTAGATCTCATTTAATGCCATTGAAGTGTATCCTATCACACTGTATCATACACTAGAACTTCTAAGTATGCTCTTACATCTTCTAAAACTTACAGATCTAGCAGCTTTGAGCTACTTTGCACGGAAACAATTTTACAAACTTGTTTCACAAAAATATTGAATATCAAAAAGTGTACAGACATTTGGGAGATCATACTTAGCCCATGTGATACTGCTGAATAAAGCCACAATTTTGATTTTGTTAATTGTAACATTTAGCCCTCTGGAGGCAGGCGTTGCAGATTTGCAACGTTAAAACCTACCTACCTGGTTACCCCACAAACGTATTTCATGAGCATTTTTTAACTCAGAAGTACGCCTGAAGGACTTAGTTGTTTGCCCTTCTATCAAAACTTATGTTGAGCCTGAGAGGGTAATAGCTGCAATGGCAAATCTGCAAAACAAGTGAACACAGTCATGAAACTCTCACCCCTCCAAACTGCTATTATCCCAAGGCCACATCCCCACCTGATAACATAACTCACATTGCCACAGTAAACAAGAGAGCACAAAACACTATTTTCTAATGTGAGATAGATAGGTGGATTGGTGCTGCATCTGCAGTGATGCTGGTGTTGTGCAGATCTTTTGTGGTGAAAAGAGCTGAGTTGGGGCAAAGCTCTCGATTTACCGGTCGATCTACAATCCTACCCTCACCTATGGTCACAAGCTTTGGATAGTGACTGAAAGAATGAGATCGCGGATACAAGCGGCTGAAATGAGTTCTCTCCGCAGGGTGGCTGGGCTCTCCCTCAGAGACAGGATGAGAAACCCGGTCATCCGGGAGGGGCTCGAAGTAGACCCGCTGCTCCTCCATCTCAAGAGGAGCCATTTGAGGTGGCTCGGGCATCTGATTAGGATGCCTCCTCGACGCCTCCCTGGTGAGGCTTTCCAGGCACATCCAACCAGGAGGAGACCCAAGGGAAGACCCAGGACACGCTGGAGGGACTACGTCTCTGGGCTGGCATGGGAACACCTTGGAATTCCCCCAGAAGGACTGGCCCAGGTAGCTGGGGAGAGGGAAGTCTTGGCCTCCCTGCTCAGGCTACTGCCCACACAACCCAACATTGGATAAGCAGCCAAAAATGGATGGATATAAGTCATATATAAAAAAACATTTTCTCCAGTGATCATCACCAGAGACTTGATATTTTTTTACTAATCCTATAAATTTCTGTATTTTAAATAGGTATGAAAAATTCACATTTTGCGGCGTTTTCTTTTGTTACATCGTAACACAAGCTGTATTTATTCTACAACCTAAACATGTACTGCGACACAGGTACACAGCTGAAACTATCACTCAATTAAGAGCACTAAGAACAAAAAAGGCCATATATCAAGCAGGAAGGAAGAATATTTTAATGCACCGCTGCTGAGTTTCAGTGTATAAAGGCCCAGCATGATACAGAGGCAGTTCCTCTCTGCATCACCATGCACCAATGGCAGGGGAATGAGTAGAGAGACTTATGAGTTGACATTTCAGGAAAAGTTCAGAGAGAAGAAATGTGATTCTGCCCAAAACAACAAAACAACAACAACAACAAACACACAGTTCAATTCAAACCCAATCTACAAAAGCATTCATACATTCACAAAAACACGACCTACACACAGAGATTCATTCAAGCCAACAACTCATGATATACATACAGTAGCTGCACTCGGCACACACAGCCTTGCACCAGCACCCCTACTTAATTAGGAACTGGATTCGTTTGGCCCTTTTGTTTTAGACGCATTATTTCTGAACCATTTGTCACGGAATTTCCAGCACGTCTAGCTGGTGTCCGAGCGCCGCAGCACAGTGGACCTATTTATGTGTAAAGTTAGCTCCGCTAGGATGATGTTACATTGAGAAAACACATTCCTGATATTACAGAATGATTGTTGTTCACTTGGAGGAGGAACAACCTTGTTGACAGAACAAGTACAATGGGCTTAAGACAGCAAGATGCAGCAATTATTTCTCCTTTTATTCTTCATCGGTAGAAATATTTGGGTCATAAAGGAGATTGTTATTTAAAACTTCCTGTTCTCTTTCACACAAATCACAAAGCACAAGGGATTTTAATTCCAAAAACAGGCACTATGCTACTCTGCTAACGTGTTACAGCGTGCAAGTTCACTATCAACCAGGTCAAACAGAGGTTCTGTTTCAAGCCTGATAAAGAAGACAAAGAATGACTGGCATCTCTGCTTGTGCTGCTCTTCAGAAAGGCATCTTTCAGTGCTTCACTTCAGTCCTAGATAAGGAGGAAGATGGATCGCTGTGCTTGGAACAGAGTTTGACCTTCTGCAGAGATTCTTCAAGCAGAAAAATAAAGATTTCAAAAGTGAAAAGTGAGTTAACTGAAACTGGACAGCATGCAACAAAAGAACGGAATGTTTGGATTTCCGTATTTCCAGAAAAATATGTAACTGTAATTTATGTAAAGTGAACCAACAACTGAAGTTCTACTCTAGAAAAACTTTTCTTTCTTTTTCTTTTTTTTAGCAAAACATGAAGCTGAGGGTAATCTATATCCAGCACAAGAGTTCTGGCAACAGGACAAGAGAGGCAGAGCTCTGCAGGCTGAAGACCTTTCACTTTTTTTATGTAGCACAAAAACTGCTCCACAAACTCCACAGAACAGACCCACGGTGATTCCCTTCCTGTCTCTGCTTCTCTTTAGACAGCTTCCTCTAAAACACAAGCCCAGATCTTGTCTGTTAACTTCTCTTTAAGCCTTGCTCACCAACACACACACAGTGCAGACTCTCTCACCTGTTGTGAGATTGTGATTCATCATGAACAAGCTGCCGGACTCGCTGTGAGGCTGCAGGTCGCAGGAATCCTCCTGGAATAAAAACAGCAGGTGAACGACGCAGAGAGGAGGGTGTCCTAAAGCGGCAGAGGGAAGTGGAGCCTGCAGGAAGTGGGCTCTTGATCTCCTGTTTCGGGTGTTCATACCAGCTGATGAAGAGGAACGCCTCACTGTTTTGAAAGATCCTCCCCTGTCTCTATTTCCTTCTCCCCCTCATTCCCCTTTTCACTCACGCTGCATTTCTCAGCCTTAGATAAAAAAAAAAAATAGAAACCAAGTTTTTCAGCTGCAGCTGTGTACAACCAATTTTATTAGACTTGTTGAAAATAAGCAAAAATGTTCACACCTTTGGTTAAATATCTTTTTAGCAGCCAACGTTTTGTTTTTAGATAACAGTTTATCACTAGATTCACTGAAAACTAAATTTTGACACTAAACCAGGATGTTAAAATATACAACCTGCAGATGTTGTCCTTATTAGGACTCTTCAAGGGCACCTTTGGGTGTCTCCTTCTCTGATGCATAGCTTAACAGTAATATTGGCACGAGATCTATGTGAACACATAATCCTGTGGAATGCAGACCAACCTACTGTAGGCTTATGGC